CCTTTCCTCAAGGATGAGGATGAAGGGAACCCCAAAAGTCGTGCTCGTGGGATCCAGGACACTGCGGGAACCAGACGTACGGATGTTGACATCAATGCCAGCCCAAACCACGGATGTGGCTCAGGGCTCAGAGCCTCCTCATGCAGCCCCAAGGAGCAGCACTGGGGTCTGCTCCCCTTCGAGGGTGCTCTCCCACCATGTGCAGCCCCCGAGGGCAGCACCCACAGCAAGGACACCGAGGAACCTGGCGAAACACACGTGCAGGGGCAAGTGGTGAGTGTTTTGGGCAGGGGGATAAATCAGGGGAGCACAAGCATGGCCAGATGCTGAGTGTGTGTGCAGGCTGAGCAGACGTGCAGCACGGAGAACCCGCAGCAGGTGTCGAGGGCACACGCAGAAATGCAGACACCAGGCACGTGTTGCAGACACCAAGATCTCATTGCAGACACTGAATATTCACTGCATACCCAAAACACACCTTGCAGCGAGCGCTTTACACGCACTGAGCACGTTGCAGACGCCGAGCACGTTGTTGCAGACGCCAGGCAGGCATTGCAGACACCGGGCACGTTGCAGGCGGTAAGAACGTGTGGCATGCACCGAGCGTGCCTTGCAGACACCAAGCACGTGTGGCAGATGCTGAGAACGCGTTCCTATTGCACACCCCGAGCACATTGCAGATGTGTGACAGGCACCAAGCTGGTGTTGCATACCCTGAGCACACATTCTGGACCTCAAGCCCACGTGCAGACACTGACCACACGTGTGACCCACACCGACAAGCACAGCGGATGTTGAGGGCTCCCATGGGCTCTGAACACCCGTGTTCAGCCCACGTGTCGGTCAGGGCTTGGCAATGCCCTTGGTGGCTCTGCACCCCCAGTTTCTGCTGGGATACCTTGTCTCCAGGTCAAGGCTTTACACTCTCCATTGCATGGAGCAAAGCTCTGGGCTGAGGTACTGGCATCATCTCCCCTGCCTGCACTTCCATCTCCAGGCTCTCAGTGCCCAAAGGACACTGAGTGTCCAGGGAAAGGTGGGACTCCGATGTGGCTGATGGGTTCAGATGGGGTCAGCGTACAGAAACCCAAGCACAGCCAGCAGAAACAGCCGTTGTTGGAAGCTTGGCTGATTTAGAGGTCAAGAAGAGCTTGCTCTGCTCCTGGAAGAGGGCAGGGTGAGGGTGGGTGGTGATGTAGGGATGGAAATAAGAAGGAGAGATGGACAAGGGCATAACTGGAGGGACAGGTGGGTTGCTGACGGTTGGGTGGGTGGTGGGATGGGTGGAGGGTTAGAAAGGATGGGTGAGTGGTAGGATGGATATGGGGGTGCACTGGAGAATGGATAGAGGGATGGGTGGAGGATAGATGAAGGGAGGAAGGATAGGGACGTGGATGGGTGGATGGATGGATGGTGGGATGGAGGGATGAGTATCTGATCAAAGGTGAACTCTAATCGTATTTTATTGGTTCCCTGGAAGTGTCCAAGGCCAGGCTGGACAAGGCTTTGAGCAACCTGGTCTGGTGGGAGGCGTCCCTGCCTGCGGCAAGGGAGTTGGAATGAGATGATATTTAAAGACCTCTTCCAACCCAAACCATTCCGTGATTCCTGGGGTTTGGAATCAGGCACCCACTCCCCTGTCTCCCAAGCTCTCTGCCCACAGAGCCCTGAGAACCAGCAGCTCCATGGGACCATCTGGCACAGCAGAAA